TACCATTACGTTTAAATTCATTTCATTCGCATTAATCACCTCACTCAGCATGTGAGTATAAAGTACATTTATTAATTAATGGAATTAAAAACAGCAAAAAAGTTCACAAAATCAAGAGCATAAATACTTTTTTACCATTACGTTTATATTCATTTCATTCGCATTAATTTAGTCCGTGAGTATAAAGAACATTTATTAATCAATGGAATTTAAAAACTGCAAAACAACTTCACAAATCAAGATCATAAATACTTATTTACCATTCATTACAAATTCATTTCGTTCGCATTTAGTATGTGAGTATAAAGAACATTTATTAATCAATGGAAATAAAAACAGCAAAACAAGTTCACAAAACAAGATCATAAATACTTATTTACCATTACGTTTAAATTCATTTCATTCGCAATAATCACCTCATCAGCGTGTAAGTATAAAGAACGTTTATTAATCAATGGAATTAAAAACAGCAAAACAAGATCATAAATATTTATTTACATTACGTTTAATTCATTTCATTCGCATTAATTAGTCTGTGAGTATAAAGAACATTTATTAATCAATGGAATTTAAAACAGCAAAACAAGTTCATAAATTATGAACATAAATACTTATTTCCCATTACGTTTAAATTCGTTCATTAGCATTAATTTAGTTAGTGAGTATAAAGACATTTTTTATCAATGGAATTAAAAACTGCAAAACAATTTCACAAAACAAGATCAAAAATACTTACTTTTAAATTCATTTCATTCGCATTAATTTAGTCGGTGAGTATAAAGAACATTTATTAATCAATCGAATTAAAAACTGCAAAACAAGTTCACAAAACAAGATAATAAAATACTTATTTACCATTACGTTTAAATTCATTTCATTCGCATTAATTTAGTCGGTGAGTATAAAGAACATTTATTAATCAATAGAATTAAAAACTGCAAAACAAGTTCACAAAACAAGATCATAAATATTTATTTACCATTACGTTTAAATTAATTTCATTCGCATTAATAATTTTATTCAGCGCGTGAGTATAAAGAACATTTATTATTAATCAATGGATTAAAAACAGCAAAACAAGTTCACAAAACAAGTTCATAAATACTTATTTACCATTACGATTAAATTCATTTTATTCACATTAATTTAGTCGGTGAGTATAAAGAAAATTTATTGATCAATGGAATTAAAAACTGCAGAACAAGTTCACAAAACAAGATCATAAATTTATTTACTTACTATTAATTAATTTAGTCGGTAAGTATAAAATTATTTATTTACATTCGGTTATAAAGTTTAAAATTGCAGTTGCGAAATAAAACATTAAATATTTATTATATAGAGGTCCTAACTATGGAAAATGTACTCATTGTAATGAAGATAACACGCAACCAGCATGGTGTCTATCATGCGACCCTGATATGACAACAAGGTGGACAAGTGGAAATAAAGATATTGACGATTACATGAAAAAATTCCAGCTTAGAGTCAAAGCATATGAAAATGCGATTGAATGGATTCCATATAATAGATTATCTGATGTTAAAAAAATTGGTGAAGGAGGATTTGGCTCTGTATACAAAGCAACCTGGTTGGATGGCATGCGAAAAGTTAATGGTGATCGTTATAATTATGTAAGAGCGCGTGAACCATCCAGCATCGTTGCACTCAAGACTTTGGCTAGTTCTAAAGAAAACAATGATTTTTTAAAAGAAGTAAGTGTTAATTTGTTGCTACGATAATTTTAAATTTTGTACTAATTTATTGTTAAAATTTAAGTTTAAAAGTCTTATGGAATGTAAATTAAAGTATTGTAAGCTCGCAATATATGGAATAACCCAAAACGCAGAAACAGAAGAATACTTGATGGTATTTCAGTATGCTGATAATGGAAGTCTTCAGAACTATTTGACAAAAAATTTTAGTAAACTTACATGGCAGGCTAAATTACAAATACTTAAAGATACTGCGAATGAATTATATTGTATTCACGATTGGGCAGGATACATTCATGCAGATTTTCATAGTGATAACATTTTACAAGACCAACGCACTAATGAAAATACACGATCCTATATCTAGGATTGTCTAGAAAGGAAAATGAGAATGTTTCGGCTGGCGAAATTTATGGAGTTATGCCCTATGTTGCTCCTGAAGTTTTATCAGGCGAGCAGCAGTTTACACAGGCAGCAGATATTTATGGGTTTGGTGTTATTATGGCTGAAATGTCGACTGGTCAAAGACCTTTTGATGGTCATGAATTTGATGATAAACTTGCAGTCAAGATTTGCAGTAGAGGATTGCGACCAGAGTTTGCACATGGAACTCCTAAATGCTATATTAAATTGGCTGAGGAATGCATGAATTCTGATCCAGATGAACGGCCTCGTGCTTATAATATTCATAATACAATAGAAAATTGGCTTGATGAAATAGCTAGTTCAGATGATAATGAAATTAAAAAGCAATTCTTGGATGCTGATAAAGTTATTAAATCATTACCGATACCAAAGCATCCTGACGGAATGTACACTAGCAAACTTATTAGCACGAAATTAATTTCAAAGGCGATTAAAGGTATATTTTCAACTAGTATATTAATAAATTTATATTATATTTATTTAAAACTAATATAATTTGTTTATTTAGATTTGCCACAAGTTGATTCTGCTCAAATCAAGCTTGATATTACCGAACTTTGAACATTTTATTATGCATACAATATAAGAAAAAGTGTTCAAAGCTAAATAAATATATATATTTATAATTAATAAAAATAATATTATTATAATCTATTTTAAAAAATATTTGTTTATTGACTTTTTGCTAGGTTGATATTGCTCCGAAGTTTGATTCGGGTTTGGTTCGGGTTTGAACAAACTTCAAACTCAAATCAAACTCAAACAGCAAATTTTACTGATTTCAAACCCATACTCAAACTCAAACTTGTAATACAAACTCGAACCAAACTCAAATACAATTATAAGTTTGATTCGAGTTTGATTTGAAGTTTGCCGAGTTTGAATAGTTCTAATAATAATAAGCAGGTTTGAATATTTGTTTAGAGTTAGAGATTCAGATATTCTCTAATTTAATTTTATAACAAAATTATTGTAAAGAATCTAGATATCTGGATATCCAAATATTTGTTAAATTTTAAACAGGAAATAGATAACAAATTGCATCTTTAGTTTAGAGGTACTGTAGCTTTTATATAATAAATGAGTAATAAACTAATAATTTGAATGTAGTTTATAATAATAAATAGGTAATATATAATAATTTATAATTAATATTTAATTAGTTTAACAGTCTATTCAGTTTTATACATAGTTAAAACTAGTCTAATAGATTTGCTAAAATTTCTATTATATATATCTAAGTTATAGCTTTATAAAAATAAAATTTTAATTTTATAATCTAAAAAAATTTTAAATTTTTTAAATAAAGTCTGGGTGAGCAAGTAATTTTTTTTAGTTTATACAATATATACCAAACCTAAACATGTTTGCAAACTTTCAAATCAAACTCAAACCAAATCCAAACCATTTATAAAAGTTTGATTTTATTTAATTTGAACTTCAAATTAAACTCAAATTTAACCTAAAGTTTGATTTGGTTTAGGTTTGTAGAAGCACTAATTAGTTTCTCTTTTGCTTCTAGCTATTAATTCAAAAAAGTTAATATTGGCTTGGCTTTAGGTGCCTTTAGTTTATCTTCCTTTGGTACATACTTTTAGAACATATATTCTGAATTAGTATTGTTAAATTTAGCAGTTTTTTTTCATTATTAGTAGTTTTTTATTATTATTAAAATTGATAATTTTTTATAGTAATTTTATTATTAATTTATATATTATATAATATTGTAAAAATGTAAAATAAATAAATAAATTGTATAATTATTATAAAATTAAATTAAAATTTAATTGATGATCCTCTAGTTAACTAAAGCATGATTTTAGTAAAATATAACTCAGATTACTATATAAATTTACTATAGTGCGAATATGGTGATTGCCCAAGGTAAACTTTTTTTCATACTAAGTAGGGATTGGAGCTGTTTAACCATTTAAAATTGCACTATAGTTCTGGCAGAATTATGTTGGTCGTGGGTCAGAATTATTTTAATGCCGGCCAAATTAAATAGTTAAATGGTTAAACAATTAATAATTAATAGAATTTTTAGGCAGTTCCAATCCCTAATACTAAGTTAATCACTTTTCTTGCTTAAAAGACTTTTGTAAAGCTTGTCAAGACATATCTAATGGTGGTTAGAGCATCAAAATCAGCCTGGTGAGTACTGAGATATCTTTAAAAAACCTTTCTTTTACTATATAAACTTCTTTGCAAACAATAGTATTATTTGCAAAGAAATTTACATAGTAAAAGAGAGGTTTTTTAAAGATATCTCAGTACTTACCAGGCTGATTTTGACACTTTAACCACTATTAGATACGTCTTGACAAGCTTTACAAAAGTCTCTTAAGCAAGAAAGATAATTAACTTAGTATAAAAAAAAGTTTTAAATGTGTATATACCATATTCGCACTATAGTAAATTTATATAGTAATCTGAGTTACATTTTACTAAGATCATACTTCAGTTAACTAAAGGATTATTAATTAAAAATAAGAAATATTATATCAAGTAAGTTGTTATATTAGAAAAAGTTTGTCAGAGAAATGGTTATTAAAAAAAGATTGTTGAAAAAATAGTAGTTTGGAAAAATAGTAGTTTAGAAAATGGTTGTATCAGGGAAGTGATTTGTTGGAGAATTGGTTATATAGAAAGTGCAATTACACTAGTTTGTTTATGCTAAATTAAGCATAAAACAAATTTGTCTTATGTTTTATATATAAACTTAGTTTTGAAAAGTTTCAAAATTTTAATATAGTTTCAGAATTTTGGTATAGTTTTGGGGTTTTTGATTTTAGTTTCAGACAGAGTGTCAAAGTTTTGGTTTTAGTCATTAGACCAATGTAGTTTCAGGCAGCATTATTAGTTGGCACATATATATTGTTTCTTGCTTAAATGGCTTAAAAATTGTTGAAATATTCAAAACAATATGCTAATAACTTCTAACAAACGATTGTGTATAATTTTCTCCTAAATGACAAACTAACAAAGATAATTTTAGCCATTGAGCTATTTATTTTTCAAAATGTAATAATATCTTTTTTATCCTCTTTTCTAATGAATCAAATATCTCTCTAAACTTTATCTTATTTAACAATTTTAGTGCCTCAAGTAACTCTTCTGAAAAAAATATATTAAAGTTATTCATAGCATTTGTAAGAAAATATAACTATTTTTGAACTTTATTAGGCATTTCATGGGTATATTATCTAGGAAATAATTTAATCCAGTTTTTACTATTAAATATTTATAAAACAGTATCTTGATTAATTATGAATTTCATTAAAAAATTAATCAAATTTTAATTAAATGTTTATTTAGCCAAGAATAAAATAGACATTAATTATTTAAATATGATAGAGTCACATTGGGATAGGATTCTAATATTCTAATAAACCATTCTGCAAATTGAAAATATAACTCTCTTCTCTCTAAATACTGTTTTGCCATATGTAATTTATATTCTCAGTGAGTTTGTAAGGGCATTTGATACGTATCTAATCAAGGCTTTGTAAAGATCTTGAATCTACTTGAATTTGATATTCATTGGAGCACTGCTATTGCTATTTCTGTAACCATTATGAAGATACTAGACAAGATATAAAGATTAAACAAATAAGGTTTTCTTAAAAAACCTAATACACATTCAAAAGCTTTGTTTTCAAAATTGGTAAAAACTATATTTATAATATGTAATCTATATCCAATTCGAATAAAATTTGAGTTGTCTAATCTATTGAACTTAACAATAACACTATTAGAATTTCCTGATATATAGACTGTGTTATCAGTAAATCATGTCATATATTTTTGTATATCAAGTTGATATTTTTAGCAAATATTAAAAACTAATTTTACAATTGTATTAGCATTATATTTTTTTATAATTTGTAGACTAACCATACTAGCTATTAGGTAATTTTGCTTCTTATTCCAATACATAAAACAAATTATTAAATTCTTATTCTAACTACAAGTTGATTTATTAGCAGAAATACAAAAAGCACTTGTTGAATATTTTTAGTTATGCTTGAAATTGTTAATTTGGAAACTTGTTTATACCAAGTTGTAATTCATTTTCTTGAAAGTTAACTTTTTGGTAGTTTGTTTATCAAAAATTCATAAATCAATTTGGTGTACTTAATAGTTAAATGTGTTGAAACTTGGCCAACTTGTGCTAATTTGGTTGTAAGCCAAATCATATTAGAAAAGTAATACTGATTATTTGATTTAAAAAGTTCTTTAATTTGTTTTTTAAAAATTATCTGATGAAATTTTTTAGATCTAGATATTAAAGAACATATTGCAGATATATATTGAAACACTTTTTGTTTAAAGTAACAATTTTGTGATTTGAGTGATTTGGTTTTTGTGATTGGAATTTAATTTTGTTTAACTAATTTTTTATTTTGTAATTGAAGCTAACTATATTCCTTTTGCAATTCTACATAACTTGATTGTAGCCAATAAAATGACTTCGATAATTGTTCTTGTAAATATGGTGATATAATTTTTTTTTTATTTTTTCCTTTTGGATATTTTATTTTTTCTAACAATATAATCTTGTTTTTCATTTCTTCATTATTTAAACTTTGAATAAGCTTAATAAGATTATCTTTGGTATTTGTGGATATTTTTTGTTGTTTAATACTATATATTAAATCTATAGTACTATTAAAATTTTCATCATTAAGACATAAAAAAATCTATTACTCTTTTAATTTTTTTTATTTTTCACAATTGGTGATTAGTTGTATCATTTGTTGATATTTTTTAGAAAGTTTTGGCATCATGATTACAGATATAAACAAAAAATTCTTTTTAATATTTGTATTTACTTTTTTTATAAAGGTTTAACAATCATTTAAAAAACACCAATTAAGTGTTAAAAAATTTTTATTTCTTTAATAATAAATTGATACAATGTTTAAATATATACAAAGCTAAATTTACTAATTAAAAAAAAAAAACATGCCAATTTATTAATCTTTATAATAATTAAATCAATAAATTAGTTACAACTTTTACAATATATACAATTAAACATTAACTAATTAAAAAAGAATAATTAGAAATACATTAAATTAAACTGACAGGTTTAGGCCGCAGATAAGTTACTAGGTATACTTAGTTTCTAGATTCTCTTAATTATATGTCTGAGTTCTTATTCTTAGCACTAGGCTTAAAATACAAAACCTTTTCCAATTATATAAAAAGTTTTTATTAAGTTTAATAAAGATAAGAGCAAGGTCTCACCTTAAATATTAAAAAAAAAAAAAAATTAAATTAAACTGATCAAAAATGAAATGCATACAATTATGTGATATTGATCTCTACTTTGAATATTTTAACCACTTTAATATATAATAACAATATCTAAATTTACTAAACTTGACCAAAAAAACTTTAGTAATTTTGCTTTGATAATTGAATTAACTAAACATGACAAAAAGAACTTGATTTTGCTTTAATAATGAATAACTTTTAATTACTTTAATATATGACAACAATATTCTAATTTACTAAACTTGATTAAAAGAACTTTAGTAATTTCGCTTTGGTGATGAATTATTAAATTTACCAAACTTGACCAAATTAGTTGTAGTGCAATTACAGAATTAGTATGCAATAAAAATCAAGATGTGTTTTTCTAATTGTTAGTTATACAGTATTTAAAATATTTGTTATGTTTCTTTTTGCATTGCAACTCTTTAGCAAATATTTAAAATTTTCACTGAAAAAAAAAGTAATATCGTAGGTCTTATCATAAGGCTACAAAATTACTTCTTTTTATTTATAAATTTCTGAATATTTATTGACAAATTATGTTTTTTAATATTTTTTAATACTTTTTTTGTACAATTTTGCTATCTATTTTTAATTTATTAATTTATTAACCAAAATAAATATATTAATCAATAGATTACAACTAATAATTTAAACTCTTGAGCAAATTTAAAAATGATATTTGCAAAAAATAAATTTTAAATTATTTGTAAATTAATTCTATAAATTTAATAGTGTCTACAAATTATTAAGAAAAAAAATACTGTTTTATATACTATTGCAAAAACCCACTTGACAAATTAAAGTATATATCTTTCTGATTTGGTTTATTATATTTTTTATTTCAAAAAATTAATTTAGCAAAAAGAGTTAAATTTTAAAACTTTTCACTTTTGTCTAATAATTTAATATTAAAAAATAATATCATTTTGTATAATTTAAAATATTAAAAAATCTGTGCTATGAGGTTGAGATCCTGTAGCCTAGTGGTTTAGGTACCCAACTCTCCATGAGCAAGTTTCAGATTTAAGTCCTAGTAGGTATGTTTACTTATTAATATTTAAAAGTATCTACTATAAGAAGTCCAAGTGAATACAAGTCTGGATTAGGAATTTTCAAAAGGAAATCCATTGTGGAGTAGTTGGCACTATGTGTAATGGAGGTCGTTATAGAAGGTTTTATTATACAAAGGTTGTGCATATAAATCCGCGATTAGCAAGGTAGTACCAACAACTCCTAAGATAGCATTGGGAATCTTGTTTGGGAGAATAACTAGATGATAACCAGAATTAGAAGTAGTGAGAAATATGATAAATACAAAAAAACCCATGATAAAGAATTAATTAGCCTTACCAAATTTAAAACATTTTTGGCAGTACAGAACTCACTAGCCAATAAGAAGTTGAAGCATAAAGATGTGTAGGCTCTGGTTATATCTATATGGAAGTCTTTGAACATCAAGAGAACTTGGGAACACCAATAAGATATAGCTAGTATAAGTGTATACAATAGTAATTAGGAGCTACAACTACTGAAAATTACTATAAAAAAATGATGATATATCTGTTATCTCTGAGCCTTATGATGCTATCTAACTATATTAACTACTAGAAGTATTCTGCAAAATATATTTGGGTGCCTCATTACTATATTAGGAATTACAGTCATTAGCACAATTACCAAAATAGATATGTTAAGACCTAGGTTTCAAAGTTGCAGAAAACCAGCTAGTTACAACAGTATGCAGGCTTGAAATACTTGCCCAATTGGGTAGAAATAGCTGTATAGCTTGAGATATAAGCTTCTAGAAGTATGCTAGTAGAGACTAAGAGTATAATTTTTTGTTAGACACATCAAACCAGAAGCAGCAAGCGTTTATTTAAAGCAACACATACCAATTTGGAAGTTGAAAAAGTAGGTAATATAAGTAATATAGCAAATATGTAAATAATAATTGGCAGTTAGAGAGAGATATACAAATTAGAGATGGGCACTATGTGCATAAATGCATGCATGCATGCGTGTATGCGTATGGTACAAGCAATTTTATAATAATATGCCCATACAAGAATAGTTAAAATAAAATTTATAATAATAAGTAACTTTGATTTATTAGTCTGTTTTTGATAATTTTATCACCAAAATAACTAGATCGATAAGATAATTCTAACTAGCTCAAAATCATCAATATACAATTGAGATCATTAATGATTGTTATTTTAAATACTTAAAATTGGTTATACCGTTTTTTTTTTTTTTTTTTTTTTTTTTTTATATTGCCAATATAGAAACTTTATTTTTATTTAAAGGCTTCTCTCTAAC